GAGAACCGCCGCATCGAGAGCGAGCCCTTCCTCTCCCACGTCGCCGGCCAGGTCCTCCAGGGCCTCGCCTACCTCCACAGCCGGAAGATCGTCCACCGCGACATCAAGCCGTCCAACCTCCTCATCAACAGCCAGAAGCAGGTCAAGATCGCTGACTTCGGGGTCGGGAGGATCCTGGCCCAGACCATGGATCCTTGCAATTCCTCGGTGGGCACCGTCTCCTACATGAGCCCCGAGAGGATCAACACGGATCTCAATGACGGGGCTTACAACGGGTACGCCGACGACATCTGGAGCTTCGGGCTGAGCGTGCTCGAGTTCTACCTGGGCAAGTTCCCCTTTGGGGAGAACTTGAGAGGGCAGGGGGACTGGGCCAGCTTGATGTGCGCCATCTGCTTCTCGAACCCGCCGCAGGCGCCGGCGACTGCTTCGAGGGAGTTCAGGAGTTTCATTGCCTGCTGCCTGCAGAAGGAGCCCGATAGGAGATTGAGCGCCGTGCAGCTGCTTCAGCACCCGTTCATCACGAGGTCGACTCAGACGTCGGGATCGACGTCGGTCTAGAATCGCGAGGTTGATGGCGGATGGCGAGCGATGGAAGGTTTGGTTTTGACGTTTCATTGTTGTTGTTTGTTGTTTGTTGTTTGTTTTACTTACAAATGGTTAATGAATGTGATGGTATTAGATTATTTGGCTGGCTTGCTTGCTTGAGATGTTGAAAACCCAGCCGGGGATTCGACGGTGGAAGGAGGAGGATTGAGGAGGAAATTTGGTATAAAACCTGTTTTTATAATTGAAATTAGACGCGGCCCCATTTGTCCCCTTTCCCTGAATAATGATATTTATGGGCTCTGTTCCTCTTTTACTGTTCTTCCTCTTTTATATGTTTTTTTTTTTTTTGTTGCTCCCTTTCTTTTTTCAATTTTCAATGAATGAATGATTTGATGATGAAAAGAAGCCAATGTTTCAGAGGGATGGGCAGGACTTGTCTTCTGCTGCTGTACTAAAGTGATTGATGGAAGAAATATGCCCCCCCTTTTGTTTGTTTACTCTCTATCAATCACGCGTTGATAATGCTTTTGAAAGCTTCACCGGGTCAGAATTATTTCCTCTCTCTCTCCCTCTCTCTCTTTTCAAGCGTGGTGAGAGGAGCGCAAATGGAAAAGGGGATCAATACCTTGAAGTGAAGCCCTTTTCTTCTTCTTCTCTCTCTCTCTCTCTTCGCCTCTACTTTATCGCTGGAGATCTTTCATTTCTTTCCATTTTCATGTGCTTGCCTTTGTCCCCGTTTCCCTTTATGGGTGTGAGAATCGGAGATGGGTTTTAGACTTCCGTACTGGGGTTTGCTTAGATTTTGCTTTGGTTGGTTGTGAGCTTGCCCCCATAAATGCTTAGGTGGTAAACCTTAGCATTGGGCCAAAGCCCAAAAACAAAAAAAAAGAAAAAGAAGAGGAACTTCCTTTAATAGAAAGAGAGAGAAAATGGATAGAGTTCGTAATAACACGAAAGAAGAAAGGAGCGCGACAGTGGATTCAGCCCTCCATTAATGGATATACATGTGATAGAAAAGGTGGAAGAGGAGAGAGAGAGAGCAGAGAGACGGGGAGGCGGGCGGAGACTCTGCTGCCTCTGCTACTGCTGTGCAGCAGCAGCTTCGGCGAGTGGAAGAGGAGGGGCATTTTGGGAAAAAAAAAGCAAAATGCACAGTGAGCATTGCGTGCTTCTCTCTCTTCAGAGAAGGGGCTCTGACAGAGGCGCAGAGATGCAGCACTCTCTCTCTCTCTCTTGTTCATCGGGGCTCTGACATTGCCAGCTGATGATTTGGATGCACACTTATAATTAATTGGGAATGTTTATTGCTAATACGGGGTCTAACTACAAAGCTATAGCTTTACGGGGTTGATGAGATGACGGTGTTGATGTGCTATTTTGGGAATCCTGGAAAGGGTTTCCAGCTTTCTGAAGATGGAAACGTATAGCGTCAGATTTTTGCTAGCAGCGGTGCTACTCTGTTTATTTAAAAAAAAAAAAATTTACCTCTTTGAATTTTAAAAAAGAAAAAACTCTTTGGGGCTGTTTGGTTACTTTCCTTCACTTTCCATAGATGATTTTCCTTCACTTTCTTGTGTTTCCTTCACTTTCCTAAAAAATTTTTCTTGTGTTTGTTTCGCCCAAAAATATGTAGTGAAAGTACTTTACATCATTTTCTATTGTTTGGTTCAACTTGAAAAAAGAAGAAAATATGTAGTGAAAGTACTTTACATCATTTTCTGGTGTTTGGTTTAAACTAAAAAATTAAGAAAACTTGCTTGTGGTCACCATGGTAAGATTACCACCCAACATAATAGTTGTGCTCAGAAAAGGCCATTATTTCATTATCTGCCTTGCCATAAAGTTTATAAAGCAATGTTGGCTGCAATATATTACCCCGCCAATATATTGCCCCGCCAATATACTGTTGCTATAAACTTTGGCTGCATATCTTAAAAATAGCCCATCATCATAACACAAAATATGCAACACAACCAAAGGCCAACCAAGAGCTGAAACCAAGGCTGAGAGCAAGTTGAAACCATCACATTAATCACAAATATGGATCCTTCGAACCAACACAACAAAGAGCTGAAACCAAGGCCAAGTGGAACACAAATTCAGACTCAGCAAAAGCCAACACAACAATTTAGCTCCATAGACCAAGCAACTGAAACCAAAGGCCAGCTTCTAACTTGGATCATCAACATGGAAACAACAAACCAAACAACCAACATGGAAACAGCAAACCAACACAAGCAAGACATGAAACCAAGGCCGAGAGAACACTGTCAGACTCACCAAAAGCCAACCAAGGCCAACATGGAAACAGCAAACCAACACAACCAACATGGAAACAACAAACCGAGAGAACAAATTCAGACTCACCAAAAGCCAACCAAGGCCAACATGGAAACAGCAAACCAACACAACCAAGAGATGAAACCAAGGCCGAGAGAACAAATTCAGACTCACCAAAAGCCAACCAAGGCCAACATGGAAACAGCAAACCAACACAACCAAGAGATGAAACCAAGGCCGAGAGAACAAATTCAGACTCACCAAAAGCCAACCAAGGCCAGCATGGAAACAACAAACCAACACAACCAACAAGGAAACAACAAACCAACACAACCAAGAGATGAAACCAAGGCCGAGAGAACAAATTCAGACTCACCAAAAGCCAACCAAGGCCAGCATGGAAACAGCAAACCAACACAACCAACATGGAAACAACAAAGCTAGTTCAACTGGACATGAATCTGAAACATGGAAACAGCAAACCAAGGCCAAGTGGAACACAAATTCAGACTCGCCAATATTAATATCATCTTCATTAGCAACAAACCAAACAACCAACATGGAACCCCACTTGTAAACCTGTCAAACAACCACAGGCCAACACAACCACGGAAGCTGCACAAAAACTGAGCTCAAAAGGGCCAAACAAGCCAAGATGGAAAGCAAACCAAAGCTCATAAGAAAGTATAGAAAATGTGCTCAGAAAAGGCTCTTTTCTTCATTATACAATTGAATCTTTTTTTTAAATTAAATGAACATGCTTTTAATCACAAATTAAAGAGAGAATACCTTGAAATAAGGATAGTATAGAGGGTTGCTAAGGATCTCCTGTGGAACTTCATTCCGTGCTTGTCTTAAAAAGCGTGGTCGTATGTGGCAAATAGCTTCTAACACTTTGTTGAAATACCTACTCACAGTCTCGCCAGATCTAATGAAATGTGACCTAATACTTCGATTTTTAGTTTTATGCCCCAAAATATTCAAAGTCATAGCAAGTTGCTCCTCCACTGTAACATGTCTTGAGTCTCGTAATAAATCGTTGCTCCTCAATATCTCTGCAAGCTTCATAAAAGCACCACTTCGCATTCTAACATAGTTGACACAACTATCACTAAATCCATTATATATGCGATCCAGGTGTTGTTTTCTATTTTGATATTGTATTATTTTCTCTTCACTAGGACCTGCACGTATAGATCTACGTCTACTTTGCATTCTCCTCATGAATACCATAACCATAACCAAGACAGATAGTACAGCACCGAACACATATTAACTACGGTTTCTTCATCGAGATCACCATCCATCTAAAATACAAACGTCATATTAAAGCAGATAGTAACAGTAAATGAAGATGGTTGTCTAATTATATTGCTAAGGTCCTACTTGCAAAATAAAAACATGTGTTGATTGAGGCATTAAAAGAGACGAGCTTTCATGATTTTGTCACACGTAATCATAAGTATCCTAACCAGACTACACTACTCAATTTCCCATGATATATCCATTTAACCATATATATCATAATATGATATACCATTTCATATTTGACAAGTTCAAGATGTGCATAACATGATTTGAATATCAAGATACCAAATAACAAGATACCAAACAAAGAAATCAAACAAATGATCAGGTCTATCTATCCATCACATAATTCACAAATCAACATGGTAGATGTTCCTTTGCAAAACTTAATTTCCCACACCCTTCAAAGTATGTCAGGTATCATTTTTTCCTTTTCTTAACGAAATCAATAAGTAAGTGTGAGTCCCTGTTCTTCTTTTCCCCTTTTCTTTACATGACAGAGATATGGTAATGATCTTATTGATCTTAAACCTGATATGATCTCCGAACCCGAGCAAAGATCCTGAACTAAAACCCTAGCTCAAAAATATACTTGGGTTTAGGGTTTTTTACCTGAGTAGCGCCCAATTTTCTCAAGAACAGCGATCGTCAGGCCAAATCCCCAAATCAACCAGGCGATCGAGAGCTGAATCGTCAGGCCAAATCGTCAGGCCAAAACCTCAAGAACAGCGATCGAGAGCTGAATCGTCAGGCCAAATCGTCAGGCCAAAACCTCAAGAACAGCGATCGAGAGCTGAAGGAGCAAACAGTCGTGCGAAGAGCAGGTGGCGGGAGAAGATGGAGGGAAGGAACGGCGCGGTGATCAGAAACCTAGGGTGAAAGGGGAGGGGAGGGGGGGAAACGAGATTTGATCACTTTCCACCAAAATCGGGGTTTTTGGAACGGAAATGATCTTTCAGCAAATCGCCACTTTCAGCCCCATTTTCATTCGCCGCTCAAAACGAACCAAACAACCGTAAATGAAGAAAACTGACAGTTTTTTCGTCGTCAGTTTTCAAAACAGCCCCTTTACGACACTTTCAGCTCAAATTTGAGCGAAACAAACAGCCCCTTTATGGAATTTGAGCAGGGGTGAAGATGAATTGAATGTTTAGATGCTTTGTAGAAAGTTCACTTTGTAATAACTACTGTTTAATATAACAGTATCGGGATGATTGCGATTCATTCTTCATGCACCTAACATAATATATATATTAGGCAACTTAGTTCGACTTTTTCACTCAAGATGAATTAAAGTTTTATTTTTAAATGATAGCTAGAAGGTTATGATCAGACATCGATTTCTCCATCATTTATCCACGGCGGAGAGAATCCGAATCTTCGAAGAGATCTATGTGAAACACTAGTTCTTGTGGAGATCAGTTAGGGGCTCTTTGGTTCCTTTTTTTTGGGTGGTAAAAGTGAGGAAAGCTGCCAAAAATGTCAGCTTTTTGGCAGCTTTCCCCTAAAATCACCCCTTAAAAAAGTGATTTTGGGGGAAAACTGTCAAAAAACTGACATTTTTTACAGCTTTCTTCTCTTTTACCACCCAAAAAAACCTATCCAAACAGCTTAGTGTTCTTACGAGGAGAAAGATACTTTAGCTATGGGCTTTTTGGAAAATGCATGTGTAGAAGATGTTCATAAATAAAAGTTCGTGTGTAGAAGATGCGGACGTAGGGATAGAT